CCTTAGTCTGCTAAAAATACAACTTATTTGGATTAAGTTAAATGTTTATTTTTTCATTATGTCTTTTTTAGGTAAAATATGTAGGCAGAATACTACAAACACCAGTAGAAGTGTGAGAAGAGATCAACACTCCTTTAATAGGTCCGCAAGGGATTAAGTGCCAGTCCAGTTCACACGGGGATACATATAAAAAAGGAAATGTGTAGATGACTGCACTTCAATGCAAACTACCTTTACTGATAAATATTCAAAAACCAAGGTGAAGTGGTAGAACATAGACAGCTAACACATTACTAGCACTTTATTCATAGACCAGTAGAAGTGAATTACATTGTCACATCCATAACCTTAAAGCGGCGTTCCACTCAAAGGTGGAAGCTCTGCTTATTTGCCTCTCCCCCCTCCACTGCCATGTTTGGCATCATTTGGGGGGAGGGGGGCGGATACCTTTTTTTGACAGGTACCCGCTCCACTTAGGCTCAGTTTGCAGCGGCGAAGTGAGCTGGAAGTTTGGCCCCCTCCTCCCTCCCGCAGTCTCCTGGGAACTTTCCCAGGTCCCAGAAGACTGCTGGACCAATTAGGAGATGCAGCATGACTCTCACATGCGCAGTGGACACCAGGCTGTGAAGCTGCAACCTGTCATGGCCTGGTGCCCACAGTTAAGATGCCGGCACCGTGGAGGGGAGAAGGGACAGTGCAGGTAAGAACATCGCAGGATCCTGGGACAGGTTAGTGTGTGTTTAATAAAAGTCAACAGCTACAGTTTTTGTAGCGGCTGACCTTTAATAAACACAAAAACCGCTGGAACTCCAGTTTAAGAACAACTGGGTTTTGCATAGAAAGGAATTCAGTACAGAACTTAGATGTTTACATATAAAGAAATTTACATAATAAGAATTTTTCCTGTGAATAATTTGTTTCAAATTGTTAAAGTGTACAATAACAGATTGTAAAAAACATAGGGTAACAATAACTGTAACAAACTTATCCCAAAGGGAATGGTAAGGTTATTGAGATAGGTAATTGGTACAGTAAAGTCAGGGGTTAGCATGCAATAAGGATATGTGAGCCATTTGCCCTAAACATGTTGGAACCTGGTATACCATTTCTTTTTTTCGGCGAACATTCATTCACATGAGCATTGTAGATTCATATACTTAATGACATCTGCAAATCCTCTAACATCTGCAAGTCCTAAACTCCCGCTAACACTTTTTAAGCAGTAACATCAACATTTTGTTTTTCTTTTGGGATTAAAGTTTTATATGAATAAACATGGACTATTGTAAGTCTTCTACCAGTGTTAAAGTAACACTAAACCTATGGAGTTAACTGTTTAAAAAACAGGTGCATTCAAGGCATGCCATGAATGATAACCGGCATAGTTGCTTGTGCTCTCAACCCAACTGTCAAGCCATCAAATGTCTGGTGTCATGACAAAACATACATGTAGTACCATGACAACTCCAGATCAAACAGAGGCTATGATGTCAGCTTCCTTGGATGTAAAGAATAGGAGTGTGTTTAGTTCTGCTTTAAATTGTTTGTCTCAACCGTCTAACTGCCTTGTTTGCTGGATAGTCTGATCTGTTAAATAAAGTTAAAAAAAATAATAGACTTACTGGACAGATAAATAGGTGAAAATAAAGGAAGAAAACCTAAAGAAAGAAAACTAATGTGGTCACCACAACTTAGAAATGGTATGCTGCAATATATTAGATTTTTTTGTTTTGGGATTTGATACCACTGTAAGGATGCTTTTTAAAAAAAAGTTTCAATGAGAGAGAGAAAGCTTGAAGGAAAACTGCTTCTTTTGTGCTCTTTTAAGAAACTCATAATGCTGTCAGATATAAAACATTTAAACATAAACATAGCTAAATTATAGTTGAATATATATATATATATATATATATATATATATATATATACACTATATTGCCAAAAGTATTGCGACACATGCCTTTACATGCACATGAACTTTAATGGCATCCCAGTCTTAGTCTGAAGTGTTCAATATTGAGTTGGCCCACCCTTTGCAGCTATAACAGCTTCATCTCTTCTAGGAAGGCTGTCCACAAGGTTTAGGAGTGTGTCTATGGGAATGTTTGACCATTCTTTCTGAAGCGCATTTGTGAGGTCAGGCACTGATGTCGTGCGAGAAGGTCTGACTCGCAGTCTCCGCTCTAAGTCATCCCGAAGGTCTTCTATCAGGTTGAGGTCAGGACTCTGTGCAGGCCAGTCAAGTTTCTCCACCCCAATTTCGATCATCCATGTGTTTTTGGACCTTGCTTTGTGCACTGGTGGCAGTCATGTTGGAAAAGGTAGGAGCCATCCCCAAACTGTTCCCACAAAGTTGGGAGCATGAAATTTTCCAAAATGTCTTGGTATGCTTACACCTTAAAAGTTCCCTTCAGTGGAACTAAGGGGCCAAGCCCAACCCCTGAAAAACAACCCCACACAATAATTCCCACCTCCATCAAACTTTATTGCATTCACTGCATTCTTTTTTATTTAAGGCCATAGCATAGTGTTGTGAAGTTTACATTCTTCAAGATAAATCAGCATATGGTCCTCATAAGAGATCCATATTTAAATGTATATGACTTCAATGTATAGATGAAAAGACATACCTAAACTATTAATATTTTATTGTAAATAAATTTGATTGATGTGTTCATGTAATGTAATCTGTTGTGCAGGTTGAGGTGTGAAACTCTACTTTGATAACAGATGGTAAGAAATATATCAAATGAAATAACTTGCAAAACAAATCACGTTTCTGTTTTAAAAATAGCTGTTAAGTTTCCTCCCTTTTAAATCAACATTTACCTTAAAGTTTAATTTTCCCTATTTGGCTGTATGTATGGCAGATCAATACGTTTTTTAGGCTACTTTCACAGTGATCCGTAGCAAAAATGCAGCAACCGCCAGTAGCGCCAAATGATATGGATGGACCTTCTATGCACCTTCTCTAGCCTTTCATGGCAGGAGTGTTAGATTATATCTACGAATGCATCAATTGAGCATACCCTGTATGGATTAACCCCTTGACGAAGACGTAAGACAAATATACCGCCTCACAGAACTGGGCTTTTTTTCCGTGGGGCCGCATATTTGCGTATCTTTCTTTTTGCTGGGAACTGAAGTGTAACTATTTTAGTAAATATAAACTGCTAAATACTTTTTCTCATCAGCAATATATAGCAGTCTTGTGACTTCAGCATAGCACTGGTTACAGCTTGTAAGAGGACATTTCTTTCTGCTCTCGGAGGATGCAGAACCCCTAACATCTGTCTGGACAGTGCTGATCGGCCCTGTGCTGATCACATGCACTCTCCCAAGAAAAAAAAAAACCCCTCTATAGCAATACACACCAAACTGAGCATGTGAAGAATGGCTACGGTTCAGTCTGTCTTATCAGGTGGACATCTGAACAGGAGGAGAAGCACAGAAGACAGGATCAAATGGCCTTTTTACACAATGTGGAGTATTCACCACTTAGGTTCCACAGTGAGTATAACAACAAGCATGCTTTACTGCATATACAGACTGATTTTACTGTTGTGGGTTTAGTAACGTGTGAAAGTTCAGCACTGGCTAGCCGATCACATCATGTAAACTCTAATTATTTTTACAGCAGTGATGGGTGTCCCAAATAAGTATTGTCTCCCAACCTAAAAGAGAAACATACAACTTACAGTAAGTAGGAATAGAACATGTTTACAACCAGAGGCAACATGTTTTATAAGTTGCACATAACAATATAATTGTTTAGTGTTATTATTAAATGTTTAAAATATATCCAAACCCCGACACTTAAACCAAATATACTGTTGTACATATACCTGCAATATCAAAAAGTTTAATTCAGTTTTTAATTAAATCTCATCAGCAATCATCTCATCATACACTTAGTTTCCTAGGATGACAACAGCTACTATAGTTCACCTGCAGTGTTGTCACCCATTACGCACTACTACAAACAGCTGCTCCATTTTGCGATAGTCCATGTATTAAGACTGTACTGTTCAGTTGCTTGAATATTAACATATCCACAGGAAGTTGTTACAATGAGTCTAGTTTTTTAAAAAAAAAAAAAAAGAAATTCTACTTCATTTATAGTGCATTACAATACTAAGTATTCTTTTGTGGGAATTTAATTCTATATTAATCACAGTGGGTTATGAAATTCTCTTTTTCTTTCAACTGTATATACCCTTGTAAAAAAACAAGCCTACTAGAGCTAAATATTCTTGAATAACTCAACATGACAAAAACTGTACCAGTGTAATAGAACAAAACAATGCAAAAAGAGAGAACAAGATAAAGAGGTACAAAGTTGAAAGGTAAAACTTTTTTTATTTTGCATACAGTAGAGAAGGGTCAGGTGTTTAATGCATTGTGTATCTAAACCAAGGAGATTCTTCACAATGAGGAGATGTCATGAGGATAAAAAAATCCATTTTAAGTTGCCACCAGAACTGAAATAAACTAGAAATCTTTTAATGTTCCTGTGACAATTGTATAAAAGGGAACTTATCTTTGGAGATATTTCTTCCCACTCCTGTTGTGTTTAATGTACAGGAAGTGAAGGAAAACCTCTAAAATGGGACACAGTTGACAAAAAGCCCTACTCTATGCAAAATAAAAAAAAGGGTTCGAATTTGGATGTAGCTTAACCATTTGCCTACAGGGCACTTATACTGCCTTCATGCACAGGCCAGTTTTCAGCTTTCAGCGCTGTCGCACTTTGAATGACAATTGTGCGGTCATGCAATACTGTACCCATATGAAATTGTTATCATTTTTTTGAGACAGATAAAGATTTCCTTTGGTGCTATTTAATAACCTCTGGGTTTTTTATTTTTTGCTAAACAAAACAAAAACAACTGAAGATTTTGAATGAAATGTTTTTTCTTAGTTTTTGTTATACAATTTTGTAAAGAAGTGATTTTTCTCCTTCACTGATGAGCGCTAATGAGGCTGCAGTGATGGGCACTGATAGGCTGCAGTGATGGGCACTGATAGGTAGCACTGTTGGGCACTGATGAGGAGGCACTGGTAGGTGGCACTGATGGGCATTGACAGGCATCACTGATGGGCACTGAAAGGCAGCACTCATATATGGCACTGATAGGCGGCACTGACTGGCACTGATAGGAGGCACTGACTGGCACTGTTAGGTGGCACTGACTGGCTCTGTTAGGTGGCACTGATAGGCAGCACTGACGGACATTCATAGGCAGTACTGATGCACACTGATAGGTGGCACTGACTGGCACTGATAGGTGGCACTGATTGGCAGCACTGATAGGTGGCACAGACTGTCATTGATATGTGGCACTGACTGGCACTGATAGGTGACACTGAAAGGCAGCTCAGATGGGCACTGATATGTGGCATTCATGTGCACTGGTAGGCCCTGATATGTGGCATTGATGAGGCACTGATGGGCACTGGCAGGTGGCATTGATGAGCACTGATAGCTGGCATTGATGTGCACTGACAGGTGGCACTGCTAGGGCTACACTGATCATCAGGGCACATGTCCCCTCTGTGGAATGCCGATTACCGGCTCTCCTCTCGAGCTGTCAGCTTGACAGCTTTTGAGGAGAGAAATGCGATAACCGGCATTTCCCTATTTACATCTGATCAGCAGTGATTGGACACAGCTGATCACATGATTGAGCCGACATCTTCGGCTCTTTCCATTGATCGTGATCCGCTGTGTCCGAGGGAGACAGCGCACCACCGATCGCTGCGCTGTGAGCTCCCGGAGCCGCGCATGCGTGGTTAAAGTGGGAGGACGTCATATGATGTCCTCCCAGAACAAGAGAACCGCCCTGTGCCCGTCATTACCTTATATGGTGGGCGGGAGGTGGTTAAAGGATAAGTTCACCTTTTGAACAAAAATAATAAATGCACATTTTTGTGCAAATTAAAAAATGTGCATTTATTATTTTTGTCCAAAGGAGCCTGGAAAGCATTGCACCAGTGATCAGTAGATCGCTGATGCTATGTAGTCTCCTGCAGACCTGTCAGAATATCTGCTTGCCGAGGGGCGTGTCCAAGATGGCGACCGGAGCGGCCGCATTATCCGGAGCTCCGGCGCCGAATTCCGGAATCCGCTGCCATCCGTGCAGCAGCGGATCACGGCGGAGCAGCGGAGGGCCCTGGTATTATCCCGGATACCTGGGAGGTAGACTCCGGGTGACATTTCCGCCCTTCGTGGCGGCGGACATCCGCGGCCTGGTGTGGCCGCGTGGGCCGGAGCTCCGGCACCCTTCTATCCGCACCCGCTGCCATCCGGGCTGTGGGGGATCACCCGAGGACGTCTGCAGCGTCCTCTGCATCACAGAGGCTGAGAGAGGGACGTCGCTGAGTGTTGCTGCTCCCCACGGCGGCGGCGACGTTTGCGGCCTACACCATCTGCCAGAGGCCTCCTTTCACCTGGTCACAGTGAGTGGGGGGTACAGGTAGCATCCTGTCATTAAGATCTCCCCACAGTGATTTGGGGAGTGGGGCCTCATATTAATAGCCCCAGAGCCCATCTTCTTCTGTGACCGTGGCCCTTACTGGGCTCAGGGGCCTACTGGGGCCTTGATACTGCCCCGGAGGGAATCTCCCTGCAGGGCCTTGTACTCAGAATTGGAGGTCCTCTGCTTCCTGCTTCCCACCCGTCCCTCTCGTGTCCTGAGTTGGGATCTGATGCCATCATCCTGCTCCGGAGTGAACTTTTTGCTGGTTGCTGCGACTTATGTTCTACCTACCCTTTCGAGGCTTGTTGAATATTTTTACAATATAATGTTCTCGCAGATGGGTTTGACAGCATTCATGTAACTACAACCCTGAACCTATTTTGGGCGCTATAGGTCCCCTGGGGTTATAATCTCCACTCACTTTCCAATTTTCAGCTGATCACCCCCGGGAGACTCCTTGTATGCCGTCCACCAAGAAAAAAAAGGGACAAGCTCAGTAGTCCCTCACGACATACCTACTTAAGGCTCACGAGATTTGCGGCATGTCTCCAGTTAATACAGAGCAAGCATCCCTGTCCGATCCCACACGTGATACCACCACTCCCTTATCGGCCTTGGTCAGCAAAAATACACAGCAACTCACAAAATGGGACTTGGAGTCCTGCTTGGAATCTATGTACGCAAAACTAGCTGCCAAATTTCAATCAGAATTGCATAAAAGCACTAATGTTCTCTCTCAGGAAATAGCCACGCTGGGCTCTAGGGCAGACCGCTTGGAAACCAAACACGATGAACTTAGCCTGGCCTATGGTGAACTTTCCAGAGAGCATGATCATTTACAAACAGCCTTTTCACAACTGCAGGCGCAGGTCGAGGATCTTGATAATCGCAATCGCAGGAATAATCTGCGAATCAGGGGAATCCCGGAGTCTATGTCGGATCTTTCATTAATTATAACCAAGTTATTCAAGTCACTCCTTCCGGATCGTGACCCTGGGTCTTTTGCCTGTGACCGCATTCACAGAGCCCTACGCCCTAAATCTCCTGCTGACAAGCCGCCTAGGGATATTGTCTTGTGCATGAAGGATTTTCTGACCAAGGAAGAAATACTCAGAGCTGCTCGCAATACTCCAACGATCTCCTTTGAAGGCTCGGTTTTACAAATCTATCCTGACGTTTCCCCGGCCACGTTGGAGAAACATAGAAAAATGAAAGAAGTTACAACTGCCCTGTTCTCAGCTCGTATCCGTTACAAGTGGGGCTTCCCTTTTAAGCTGATAGTGCCACATAATGGGAGCACATATATAGCTACATCCCTTCCCGAAGGTAGAGCAATCTTGGCCAAATTAGGCTTGGCGGATGCCCCATCGCCTCAACGTCCACCCTCCACCCCTCGTATCTCTCCCATTTGGCATTCCCCTTCCCCACGGAGGGATAGAAGGAGAGTCAGACAAGAACCGGGTTGACAGGTCCATTCTCACTTGCCTAATACCCATTGTCTTGATAGTCTTTGGTCCTATCTATTGTTTTTTATGACTTTACTAAGATTTGGGACACAGGGATTTTGCTCTCTATTTCTTACATTGTCAGGTTGTGTATTTCTGTGGTTGCTGCTGTGATATTTTTGCAATACTGAGTATTATGTATGCCTTGCATTGATAACTGGACGAGTTAAGGTATAACAAGGGTCATTGGACCCTCCTAATTGCGCCCATTAATTCATGGTTGTACTACTCTTTGACACGTTACCCCACCCTGCCTCCTGACATGGCCGGAGGTGTCGCCGCCCGATTGCGGGGTGGCAGCTCTGTTTTCCATATTCTAAGGAGACAGGGTTTGGGCCCATGTGGCCCCTTAATGTTTGAACTTTTTGTTTTATCAGGTATGACAACTTTTCTGCCTGATCCACGTTCTTCAGTTACCCTTTCAAATATAGAAGATATTAAAGCTTCTTCTCCATTGTTTTTCGTTTTCTCTTTTCTCAAAACTTTAGTGCATGAGGATGGTATTGTGTCGGTCCGTGGACGTCACGGCCCCTTATGTTGGGGTCTCTGGCGGTCCCCTAGGCTGGTTCTGCCACCTGTACGTCTGTCTGATGCAGACCTGCGGGTCTCTATGTCTAGTCAAATAATTTTAGGGGATATCCTTGTAATGTGTACTTTTATGATGATAGTGGCAAGCTCTGTTTATTATGGTAATTCAATGTATTTCGCATAATGTCCAGGGTTTCAATTCGCCAAATAAGCGCAAAACAGCCTTTCTTCAATATAAAAGATTAGGAGCAAAAATCATCTTATTACAGGAAACACATTTTGCAGCCGCAAAACACCCGACATATTTTCATAAATCCTATAGGCAGGGGTATTATACCCTACATTCCTCCAAGAGTAGGGGAGTGGCCATCTTTCTACATAACTCATTTCCCTTTGAGGTTCAACATGTGTATCGTGATCCAGACAGTAGGTTTATCATTCTTAAAGGCACCCTTTCAGGTCGAGAACTTACAATTGCTAATGTCTATGCACCAAATTCAGCACAAGCTACCTTTTTTTCTAAATTTTTTGGTGCTCTGGATAAGTTTTTGTCCCCCCATCTATTGGTGGGTGGCGATTTTAATCTGGTGGCAAATCCTCTTTTGGACCGTAGCTCCTCCTCGCATACTTCCCAAGCTTTCCCAAAATCCCTTACTAAGAAACTAGATGCCCTCCAGTTGGTGGATGCCTGGAGAGCGCACAACACGGGAGCCAGGGATTACACATTTTATTCCCACCCACATGACTCTTATGCTAGATTAGACTATCTCTATTGTACCCCTATTTTGCTAGCTAATTCTAGGATAACTAGTATTCATTTGAGCCCCTGGTCGGATCACAGTATTATGGCCTTACCTATCACGTTTGTGGGATTGGCACCTACTCCCTTTTCTTGGAGACTTAATGACTCTATGCTAACTGATACTGACTCTCGCCAGGAGGTGGTTACATCTCTTCAGGAATACTTTCAATCTAATTCAACCCCTGATATTTCCCCAGCCACACTCTGGGTAGCCCACAAGGTGGTCCTACGAGGCCGACTTATCTCTATGGCTTCGACCAGAAATAAAAAACGTTGGCAGCAGATACTACTTTTAACCCGAGAATTAGAAGCACACTATAGAAGCCATGTAGCTAATCCATCTTTACTCAATGAACAGCTATTGTCCCAAAAACGCCTGGAACTGAATGCCCTACTTTCCCAAAAAACTGAAAAGGCCTTCCTCTGGTCGAAGGCCTCGTTCCTATTACATAGCAACTCAGCATCTACCATGTTTGCAAAGAAAATTGAACCATTCTTTGCGCCCCCACACATGTATAAATTGCGTACTAATTCGGGTGCTATCTCATCTTTACCTCAGGAAGTCTTGGGTATTTTTGAAAATTTTTATTCTAAACTACTAGCTTCCCCACAGTCGGATTCTGTTTCTCTATCAGATTCATGGATAGATTCTATACCCCTTCCTGCTCTCACACCTTCTCAGATTGCCTCTCTTAATGCCCCCTGTACTTTAGAGGAAATAACATGTGCGATAGGCGCGCACCCCCTGTAAAACATCATTAAATAAAGTTATCAAGTATGGAGCCAATGTAGAGGTGAAATGTTTATAATAGCTAGCAGTAAATCCATCAGGACCCGGTGCAGTAGAGCGTTTCAGGGCGCCTATGCGCAAGCCTTGCTGCCTGCGTCCATTGACACAGACAGCGGGGCTTTGACTCATTCTCCTACTGCCTTGTCAAAGAGTTTGATTGACTATCAATCTGCCCTGTGAGGATTGAGATCAGGCTCAGGTAAATATAAGGGGCCTGGGAAGAGGGATCCTAGACACAGAGAGTTTTTTACCTGAAAACCTAAAGGTTTTAGAAGCACTTTAATTGTGTGTGAACCAATATAGCCATGATGACCAAGTCGCCCATTAGCTGAATGGAGCAGCAGGAAATTGAAGGAAAAGCTAGTATGGACTATTGGGGAGGGGAGGACTAATGTGATCCAGAAAAACACAGGTCCTCT